GCTATCATCATTTTGTTCTGTGCTAAAAATTTCACTCTGTATTTTTACGACTAACTACACAGGCGAAGTCCTCTTTCAACAGAGCAGCCGATCCATCAAAGTGGTTGCTCCCTGAGCAGGAGAGATTTCATATATGAATCTTCATCACCTCAGAACTTGAGCTCTTTTTTAATGGTTTACATATCTTGAAGCAAGGAATGACAAAACAGCACAGGGAACCCAAAGCACAGGATGAGCCTCACCTGTATCATGTAAAATCCATGTTTAGATGCAGTTTGTTTTGTACTAAATCGCTCTCTCCATTAAATACAGAGTTTTGACCAGAAAACAATTGCAAGGACCAACTGATTAAAAGTGACAGTGCAGACTTTTACAGACAGCAATCTAGAATGATTTCTAAAGGATCATGTGACCATGAAGAATGGAGTAATGGCTGCTGAAAATTCAGTTTTGCAACACAAGAATAAAGTACATTTTAAAATATATTAAAATAGAATCATTTAAATATATTAAAATAATATTTCACAATATTTCAGTACGGAAGCTTGTGTCAGTCACAGAATAACAATAAATAAATAAATTAAAATAAATAAACAGGTAATTGCTCTGTCTATCTATCTATCTATCTATCTATCTATCTATCTATTTATCAATCTATCTATCTATCCCATGGCAGAAACACGCTTCTATAGTTTTTACTGTGTTTCTAATAAAAAAAAATGCAGCCTTGAGCATAAGAGACTTCTTTCAAAAATATTTTTGATGGTAGTGTACAGTATAAACTGTCAATCTCTAAAATGACCGATAAAGCACTTTTGTGTGTGTGTGTGTGTGTGTGTGTGTGTGTGTGTGTGTCAGATCGTGTTAATGAATTCAACAGTTCAACTTTTGGTTTCTTTGAATAAATAAAGTCATATGTAGGTTTGAACTGTCACAAGAGTGAGTAGATGAAAGAATTTTCATTTCTGGGAGAACTATTTCCAAAAGGCAGATCCTTATCCGCTGATCTGTTGAAAGAGGACTTATCACCTTAATATTTGAAGTGAAGATTCAGCTGTAGGCTTCTGCTGCTGTATAGTTGGTCATAGAAATACAGAGAGAAGAAAGGTTTTGGTTCCAGAGTGAAAAGCTGCTGACAGACATGTTCACATGTCTCTGACACAGAATACGCATCTCAATTTTGTCAAGTCTCACATCCTTTTGATTAAAAAAAATAAATAAATAATAAAAAAATTTAAAAAGTTTTGCAGTAAAATTATTACATGAAATGATTGATTGATTGATTGATTGATTAAGATTTCCTTATTAACTCATACTTATCTAAAAGGAACTTACAAGTCCAAGTTTTTACTTAAAATGTCATAGTTTATTTGCTATCAACTAAAACTCAAGTATCAACTAAAAGGCTCTGAATGGCCTTTAGGTAAGTTTTCTTTCTGTAAATGTATACTCATTAGGACATTTTGTTTTCCCAAAAGATAGTATAACCAAATAATTTTTTTCTTTACAGTAAATTATTCAAGTAGTTTATGACATATTGGCATTACTAATATTTAACATCATTAAATTATTCTATATGTTTAGAATGTTTGATGTTTTGAAATGTAAACAAATAGACAAGCAGGCTATATGCTTGTTGTGTGCTGTTCTTGTCTGATCATCCATGTCTTTAAACTTACTGTAAGCACAGAAAACAGCTGCTCAATATGTTGAAGACTACATATCCTCACTAGAAAAAAAATGAGACTGCATAGGAGACACTTTTTATCCAAATAGTGGTGTGATATTCAGAGAAAACCACTGCTATATTTGCCCCATTCGCTCTTTTACGACCGCTCATTGTAAAACTTGCAGTGTTGAATAAGAAATCCAAAAATCCATTGTGGAATTCATGTTAAGACTCCTGCCAAGATTTCCCGCGTGCAGCTGTGGAAGCCGAGAGCAGTTTGGCATCTCTCACCTGACGCTACAGTGAGACGCAGAGTGTTCTCTAGTAGAAAACCTTCAGACAACGTTTGCCTGTTCAGCTGTCACCTTGGCACTCCTGAGCTGGGCTTACTGACAAAAAAGAGACAGACACATAACAGAGACAAAGAGACAGAGCACAAGAAAGAGTGAGAGGGAGAAAGACACGAGGGGAAAAACAGAGACAGACTCCCTGTGGACTCAGGTAATAGGCTGTCTCTTCAAATGACCATCAGAGTTCACTTCACATTGCGATGATTGCAGGTGAAGGATCGGCAAAGGGAGAGCGAGTGAAAGATGGAGCTCTTATTTAGATTGAAATGTCACTCTGGAAAGGACATATGCTAATTTATATGTTCTGAGCATTTAGTAAGTGCTATTTAAAACAGCTTCACACTGTGCATTGTGTTGTCAAAGTTCAAACACAACTATTCAGTCACAACAAAGAGGACAAAATAAGAGTCCCAGAGGAAAAGCTGATCGCCAGGAGGTTGCTTTGTCACAGCACAGAATATATAATGGAGTTCTCATTTAACACTGCAGTATCAACTTCTGCGATGCTTCTCGTAAAATTACTAAGGGAGAAATAGAAATAGACACAAATGAGACCATTGCTGACATGCTGTAAGAGTAATGGGATATGAAATGAATGTGGAAAGCATCTCAGATCCTTTATTTTTTTATGAGAAATGTTTGAGTTCATGTTAAGTCTGACTTTTGGTTAAAGACTTGAAGTTTTCTTCAGAAATTCTAGACACATTTTTATATCAATTATTTACTATACTAATGTTTTTAATTTCTGAATTAATATTCATTTTTTTAAATCTTTTATTACAATAATGATTAATATGTGGTTACATAACATGACATTTTTAGAGTCATTAAATTGAAAAAGATCTTGACGTTTTATTTGTCATTGACCCTTTAATTTTTCACATTTTCAGTTCATCTGCAGTATCTTTCTCATGCCTTTAAATTAATAACTGGAATGACAAATTTGAATAGGTTTCAAATGTTATTAAATGTATAACTAACTGCTTTTGCTTTTTGACTTAACTGTACCAGACATTTTATACTGTGGTCTGTTCATTTTAGTTAGGGTAATTCATGCCATGCTGTCTGTCTGTCTAACTGTCCTTGACACTCGGTCAGCAGGTGGAGTGATGTTTAATATGCACTGTTCCATGTTAGTGATCTAATGTGAGTTAGGGACTGTCTGAAGACATATGCCATCTTCCATCGCTACATGTGCACACGCATGTCCACGCATTGGCCATCCGCCTCAGAAACCGCTGTGTGACTGTGGAGCTCACGGTATGATAAAATTAGACTGACACAGATTAAATACTCCAGTGATCCACATTCCCCAACAGAAAAGAGGACCCGAGTGCTCCCCGCCACTATGCAGGTGTATGAATCACATGGAATTATTGTGAATTTTAAATTCTGGATTAAAACTGCCGAGAGAGACCGTCAGAAGGGAGTACTGCAGGCAGAGGCTGGCTAATTTTTAATTTTGACAAGCACAAGCTTCACACACTCAAGGCTGAGAGTTTTCTCTGTCTTCCCAACTCAGTTCAAGAGGCACAAAGCTTCATTTGACAACTAGTATCCACAGAATGTTCAGTAAAACAGAAAAGTTCAACTGCATTCGGTTCAGTTTAATATGCAGTTTACACCGTTTTTGAGACGCTGTTCTTTTTATGACAAACAGCAGCCATGAAATCACTTTTACATAATTCCCTCACCAGATATATGGTATAGTCAACCTTGTGAAAAAAAATAAAAAAAAATAAATAAGTACACTTAATTGTACTGAAAGTGCACTTTTATAGTGTACAGTACTTCAAATCTAAAGTATATATATAAAAAAAACTGAATTTGCAGAAAATATAATATGAATTAAATAGAAGGACATTTCAGTACACGTAAAATACAATATATATTTGAATGACATAAGTGTTAATATAAATATGAAGTGTAAATAAAAACTAAATTAAAGTATATTCTAGTTCACCATAAATGTTCAACAGCACATTCAGCAGTACACTTTGGGCATATTTCAAAGACTAGAGAAATCATTTTGAAATTACTTAAAAAGATATACTTAAGTCCTACTGAAGTGGGTCAAAAAAGTTCAACTAATTGCATTTAATATAAATTTAAACTAATACATTTTTATTTAATTGTAATTAACATTTACATACATTAATTTCACTTTTGTATCTATGTAAAATGTACTTCTTTTTCACAAGGGAAGTTTTATGACTGTAAAACAGCATGCAACAAACTTGTATTAGTTCTACATACTTGTATTTGGACAGTTTGCAGCATGTATTGTGCACAGTTTGCAGGTTTTTTTTTTTTTTTTTTTGCATGGAAGTCCATGGTGGGTCCTATTTCACATACTTTTGCACTATTGTATACCATTTGCATTATTGTACAGTACTTCATTATTGTACTTTCTTCAATGGGGGGAAAAGTGTGAAATGCTGGACAGCAGCTTTTCCTAAGTAGTGTAGCTAAAGCTAACAGCAAAACATGAGGTGCATTTGAAACGTTTTCCTTCCAATGGAAAAGGGCAAATGCTTTTGTGTAATAAAACATTAAGTTCTCCATTTGGTACGACACTATCCTCTAAAATTAATAATCTCTAAGTACATAGTATGTAACCCACAATGCAATGCACTCTACTTGACCTTCCATTTCCAATGTGATGAATGAAAGCAATACTAACTGAGAATGTAACATTGTTTTTGGCTCATTATTTTTTTAAACAAAATTGGATTAAAATGCAAAACTCTCCCAGATGATAATTGGGTGCCAATCACTGCACTAAACATACGACATAATGAGATCATGTTACAACAATGTAACATACAAATGCCATGTGCTATTTGAAATGTTTATTGTTGTATAATGTATATTGTTTTACACACTATTTTACACTCTATTTTTTCAACACCAAAAAAAGTATGTACAATGCTAAACATGATTTTAATAGCCTTATGTTGTTGTTTGTTTGTTTGTTTTAGGTGAGGACTTTTATGAGCCATCTCCTTACGAACCCATGACGCCTCACCGACATTCAGATGCATTTCGCCTGGCATCAATCATCTCAGGTAAACATCAATATTTTCATTACAATTTATTTTTGTATTATATATACATTCTTGCAATGCACTGCTCTGTTTGTTGTTGATATTGGCTTCTTTTTCATTGCCATCTCTTATGAAACTAAGAAAATCCATCACTAAATGAATTATTATTATGTTCCAAACAATGTACAAGGAGAAATGTGACCCTGGACCACAAAACCAGTCTTAAGTCGCTTGGGTATGTTTTTAGCAATAGCCAAAAAAACATTGTATGGGTCAAAATTATCAATTTTTCTTTTATTCCAATAATCATTAGGGTATTAAGTAAAGATCATGTTCCATGAAGATATTTTGTAAATTTCCTACCATAAATATATCAAAACTTAATGTTTGATTAGTAATATGCATTTAAGAACTTCATTTGGACAACTTTAAAGGCGATTTTCTCAGTATTTTGATTTTTTTTTTTTTTGCACCCTCAGATTCCAGATTTTTTAATCGTTGTATCTCGGCCAAATATTGTCCTATCCTAACAAACGGAGATAATGAAGATAAATTAGTCTTTTTCCTTTCTAGGAAAAAGAAACAGGAGCAAGTGATTATTCCAGTGAAATAAAAACCACTCTAGGCATTTTTCACCTTGGCATGAGTTACGTTTAATGTTTAATTCACTGACAGCAGTCATTACAGACAGTAGAGTGCAGAAATATCGCCTCCAATACATTATCAGAGCCTCACAGAGCCTGGAACAACCAGAATAACTCATTTTTATTCAGAATTGGGTGGGGGGCAGTAAATGACGAATCTCATGTGCACTACAGAAAATAGTGGATTGAACATGGTTGTCAGATCCATCTTCTTGCCAATTTGTTACATAATACCATTTTTGTGTCTTGAAAGGCCTGCTGTGAGTAGCAGCTGAGGTTTGGAGTTTGCATATTTTCCTTCTTCCTTTATACAAAATAAAAACATCACAGCTGGGAAATGTGGACACACAACCAGCTTCCATTAGCCGATGGTGTAAATATTAGGGGATCGTGTAATTCCACAAAGGAGTGAGTTAAGTAGCATTTAATGTCTCTGTTGCATAATTGTATGCACAGGTGCATCTCAATAAATTAGAATGTCGTGGAAAAGTTAATTTATTTCAGTAATTCAACTCAAATTGTGAAACTCGTGTATTAAATACATTCAATGCACACGGACTGAAGTAGTTTAAGTCTTTGGTGCCATGTCGTGGAGATGCTGTGTTTCGTTGTGAAAGCAAAGCTACTTTTTTTGGTCTTCCAAAAGAGGACGATATCTGCTTCGTCATGCCTGGAGCTGATCCGTGCTGGTTGCTGAGGAAATACATCAACTTCGCGCTGTGGATCTCCGGATCGGCTTTCACCGTGGACGAAGCGGAGTCCAGCCCGGGGTCGTCACATGTGGTTGCCGCAAGCCCGCCGGCCACTCCTTCATCGAATCCGTCGGCCGTGCCGTTCTCAAGCCCGCCCACCGCCGCTCACTCAAGCCTTGCCACTGATGATTCAAATGCGAGTTTTGAGCAGTGTAGAGTAGCGCTTGTTTGTCATTTCCCCAATCACAAATGCAGACATGGTTTTATGTCTACGTGGCGTGATGCAACGCAACGCGTAAAAAGACAGTATAAGTCATTATAATCCGTAATTATGTCCCCACTGGATGCAACAAATGCCTCGTTTATAATGGGTTTTAATGTTTTTGTCTCATCGCTCAGGCCGGGAGACGGCATAACAGTATGGTAAGAGGCGTAGGATTTCCGTCACACTGTTGAGGTATTCGGCCAATCACAATGCACTGGATAGCTGGCCAATCACAGCACACCTCGCTTTTCAGACCGATGAGCTTTGTAAAAATCGACGCGTTTCAGAAAGGCGGGGCATAGAGGAGAAACAATAATGTACAGTATGTGGAAAATAATGTGTTTTTTTAACCTTAATCCGCATAAACACATTTCATTACACCAAATACACAAAAATAATGTTCTTTTTAGCGACATCATATGACCCCTTTAAAAGATACAATCTAAGATTGTAATAAAAAAGTCAAAATTGCAAGATATAAAGTTTATATTATTTATAGTCACAATTATATGGAACAAATTCACAATTGTGAAATATAGTCATGCTGAGATTTTACACATTAGTTTGTTAAAAATCACATTCTGAGTTACAAGGTCAAATTAAAACAAAAAACAAAATCACAATTGCAAGATAAATAAATGATATTGTGATTTAAAAAGTCACAAGTACGAAAAAATTTATACACAAATATAAAGTCACATTAAGATATAAAGTCCCAATTAGTAGAACTGAAGTTGCAATTATTTATTTATTTAATAGGCAGAATCGGGCTCCCATAAAAACTTGCTACTAAATTACTACTAAACGATTCAGATCAAAGGACTAATTTTCAGCTGTATGTCCCATAATGCTTTGCATAAAACACCCCTGTAAACATTCCCCTCACAAGGGTCAGTAGTTCAGGATCTCAGAGCGCCTCTTCATGTTGTGGTTCACACTCTGTTCAATTTGATAAATATCTGGCCAGGGTGAAAAATATTTGTCTGCCTGAAATATGACACAGCCTTTTATGACATGACATAAGACTCTCTTCATGGGTCATTTCAGGTGGCGATGAAGACTCTGTTAACAGGAGAATCTTCTCTCCTTCTTGTTCACTTTCTTTTTCATTTCTTTTGACAAATCCCTCAAGCCTGGCTAGCCGAAACACTTTCCGACAGAATAAGCCACTAGAAAAAGAAAAGCTGATAAATAGAAGACTAGAAAAAGTAGAATATAAATTAGATGAACCCTTTCAGGCACAGTGGTCTGTGAGAAATCGCCCATTATTTTTTCACCTTTCAATTTGCTTTAGAGTTTAAAGTAGTAATCTTTCCATTTTGTGAAATTGTGTTTCTCTACAAAGTTGGGTGCACACAGTCTCTTGGAGCTTCTGAAGAAAAACAAAACTAAACTAGTTAAACTATTTCTGTAAGTGTTAATGATGTAAACAGGCTGCACAATCAGAATTAATGAAGACAATGATAGAATATTGCAATATTTATTAGAGAAATAAGGTGGTTTTGCATAACAGCCACTGTGGATATACAGGAAATACCAAATCATATGACAAAATGTTGATAAGCATTCTGTGTTTGATCAAAATGAGCATTTTACATAGTCAAACCATTCTGATCTGTATGCCAAACACATCTGAAAGTGCACAAAAATACAGCAAATGTAGTGCTTTGGACTAAGAAACCACCTCAAAAAAGGTGCCAGCATAATCAAATCCAACAACATGGATGTTAGTTTGACGGTTTGCTACCCATTCAATCACATAAAATTGAATGTTTGAAAGAAATTCAGTGACTGTGTCTGAAAGGGTAGTTGCAAAATAGCAGAAAGAAGATTACTGTGGCATGAGAGCATAATCTCTGCAGGTTCAGAATAACATAGTCATGCAGTTTTATATACTGATAGTGGCTTCTAAATTTACACTAGCTCCTGATCAAATCTTCTGTGCCAATAAAACAGCATTCGGACTGACAGTTTGAGCGATGGCGGTCTCTTTCATAACCATTCCTTGCATTTAGTATCTCCGTGCTGTATTTATTCGCTGCTCTGTGCTATAATGGAGGTCCACTCTTATAGTCACTGCCAACCATTACTGTCACAACAGGCCGAAGAAGAAGGTAATAATAGTGCGAGTAATAAAAGCAAGACTTTATGAGCTTTCTGCTCATAATCAGAACATGCAGTGCCTAAGTGCACACATGCACACAAATACACCCATATATGTGTGCAAAGGGAACTGGGGCAATATACATGAGAGAGATGATGATTTTATGATGATCCACTTTACTTTATGCACAATGGAAAATGTAAACAAGAAATGTAAATATTGCTATTTGTCATTAAAGTTGTATTGAGATTAGATAACTTGTGCAATTTACATGTTAAATTACCTTATAATGTTACATGTTAAATTACACCTTACAATATTCGGGATTAACTTTGTCCGTATTGCCCCAAGCATTTTTCTATTCTGAGTTCAGCATTGGAAATGATTGGGTGTATTTGCCAGGCTAAGTCTTTTGGGGAGATAAAGCGATAGCTACATGCAGCGATGCTCTGAGAGAGCATGCAGAGCCAATGGTAGCACTGAGTTCCTCACACCTGACAGTGAAAGCTTTCTAGAGATTTCTGGCTGAAATTAGCAAAGACAACTGCAAAGTCTATATGTTCAGTTTCTTTAGCTCAAACATGCATGTACGTACGTGTAAATCTTCATTTTAAATCAGGGTTATTTAAAAAAAATAAAAATATTGATTACTCAACTTACAAAATGTTGATTTTGTTCAATTCTGTTTAACCCCCCATATTACTAGTTATGGGACAACTTTTATATATTGATTTAATATCACCAGTGACAAATTTTCGTTAAAAATTCTGTGTTTAAATTACCTAAAATACATATGATCAGATTATAATCAAATTATAAATAACATTAAATAATTTTGCTTTAAAAATTATTTCACACAAATATTGAACATGTATTTTTAATTGTAATGATATTTTACATTATTACTGTATATTTGATCTAATAAATATAACCTTGGTAAGCATAAGAGAATTCTGTCAAAATATATTATAAGTATCATGTTAAATCAAATGAAAAATGGTGTGTCTGATTGGTCCAGACGCTACAATAGCATAAATTTCTCATGACTGAAAAGTCAATGTTTGACACTGTCACGGTCACTCGGGGAGGAAGGAATGAGGAGACGCAAGAGAACACTTCAACTAGGATTTAATTCAAATGAACAAATGATAACACACACAGGAACTCTGGGATGACATTTAACAGCCGACGCTAGACACAGGGAAACACAGGGCTTAAGTAGACAAGGAAACTAATGAGGGAACACCTGGAAACAATGAACATGACGACA